CACCGAGGTAGTTAAAATAACACAAAACAAACAGGTTATTTTAACAAATATCTAAGGTTTGGTTTATATACATATTTATAAAACAAACATTGGCCCAATGTTTGCTCCTGGTCGCGAAACAGCGGTAATACGTCCAGTTTTTAATCCGTTTTTCAAATTAAAACTCGGACGTGAACCGTTTCGGTTTTATCGTTAGCCAGTTTTATTTATTTTTTTCCACCAAAAAGGTATCTAGGTGGAGTGCGGCATTTTTGTAGATTTACTGTGACGGTTTGAAAAATGTTTTTTTTTTGTCTGAAATCATTTTTGGCTCCAATAAATTAGAAGTAAGTAAACACATGTTTTTCTAATTTATTTACTTTTAATATACAAGTTAGAGGTATTGAATTTGAAACTGTGTTCGACGTTGTATGTATAGGTTGCATGGTCTTACCTGAATTCCAGAGCCTGTGCATAATCAAGCCTTGCGTTGTCTTGCATCTTCAGCAGATGAGATGAATAATATCATAACCAACAATCAATCTGAGTGTGTGCTTTGTTGCGGTCGGACGTGCTCGACTATTTCAGTGTCCAAGTTGAAGTTATTTTTTAGACATTAGCAGCGTTGATTGATGGTCGCTCCCACTCTGTTGTTATTCTTAACATTCAGTTAGAGGGACGTCTAACTTAATAATAATATTTCGGACATCTGACACACAACGCCATCTAGTTTTAAACTAAGCAAGTTTGTACTATGAAAACTAGATTACCTGATATAATACTTGTATACTTTTTTTAATACATACATATTTTACATAAAAGCACCCTAACTCCGAAACAAATAAATATTTGCAGATCATACAGTTGGTCCGACCCGGGAACCGAGTCCGAGACCTCAGTACAGCAGTCGCACACGCTACCACTGAACCACCGAGCCAGTAAATGTTAATAGGGTGTGTAGGCAGACCCCAGGCGTGGTTAACAGATTTGAGTACGATCTCATTTCAATGCTCAAATGTTTCAACATGTTATTACAATACGAGCAACGGCTACTCTTGACCTTCACCAGGTCATCAGACCACCTTGTAGGGGTCTAACCCCGCTCTGTCTTCTGGTACGCGGTATTACGCGGGCAGCACAGGACCGCTTGTTATGGCAAACCTTAGAGGAGGCCAGCAGTAGACCAGAGGCAACGTCCGCGTGTGCCGCACGTCGCCCATATGGAGAATGTACCCGGGGATGGAGCCCGCACCATTGCGGGCAAGCGCTAGGAAGGGTCCACACATCACATCCACATCAACAGCCTATGATAGTCCACTGCTGGACATAGGCATCTCCTCTGAAAGGAGGTTTTGGCCTGCTATACCACTGGCCAGACGGGTTGGTATAGGGTTTGTTTCAAGTTTTCCTTCTCTTTGCAGTGCTGTTGTCTTGCGTAGTTTTCGCCCTTAGTCTACTTTTACGACACCCACGGGATGAATAGGGGTAGTGACATTACGTATTCTTAATCCGTCACCACACGGACTCCGAAGGGAAGGAGGAAGGGTCCGGATGTCTCAATAACAGCAGTTCCCGGAGGGCCCATTACAGGCGCAGTGGTTTTAGTCGGTCCGATTCCGACACATTACCCCGCCGCAAACCCCGGTGGGCTGACGACACGAGGGGGGTTTCCACACGTAAAAAAGGCCAGCAGCCATTGAGACGATAATGATAATGTGCAAAACATCTAGAACTCGGTGAACACTTTCCAGGCCAATAGGAAGAAGCCTATGGCATGAATCCCATCTTATCCAATTAATTTGCAGGAAGTGTAAATAAATAAATAACACAACAACATACAGACGCTCACATTTTTATCTCCGGAGGGGTAGACAGGGGTTTATTAAATGTATATTTTTCTGATTATAACTTAAGTACTACTTAAGTCATCAACAGCCTTTAATACTCCACTGTTGGACATAGGCCTCTCCTTAGAAAGGAGGTTTTAACCTATTATACCACGCTGGCCAGCCGATATAAGAAATATGACCTATTGTTGTCAACCAGGCACACAAATTTCCGAATTAACGTACTTATATATTTTTAAATACATCTTTATTCCATACTCATCTTATCAATGTGAAAGGGAGTTTGTTTGTTTGTTATGCTTTCACGCCTCAACCACGAAACCAATTTTAAAAATTCTTTCACCAGTGGAAAGCTAAATTATCAGGGAGTAACATAGGCTACATTTTAGCGCGATAACCGATATATACGCGGACGGAGTCGCGGGCAAATGCTAGTAAATAATATTTGTGTATAAATTACAAACAGACACAAAAGAAATGATGTGCCCCAATATTTGTCCTGTGGTTTAGCAGTCAGGATTGTTTCCACGAGATCAACAGGTCCACTCAACACATATATCTAGCACTATTCCGACAAACATTTTAGATGAAGCAATCGAGTCTGAGTTTCAAACACTAATTGATAATCACCTTATTTTTTTATTTGTCCCATGTCTTAATATATGACGACCGGATGGCGTATCGTTTTGTGTAACAGACTGCCACGCCAAAGGTCGCGGATTCGATCCCGCTCAAGTTAAACATTTTTGTGTATAAACATTTAAAGTTTGATATGGCTTGATGTTCCTATGTATAAAATGTATATATTTACAAAAAAAGGATATATGTGTTTATAGTAGTTGTCTAGTACCCAGAGTACAAGATCTGCTTAGTTTGGGACTAAATGGCATTGTACGAATGTGGTAAAATACTATTATTTGAAGAGATACTTAGATCTATGTGGTCATAAAAGCTAATATTAATAGACTTCAAGGTGAAACGGATTGAACATGTTGAATAAATAAAACTAATTCTGGTAAATTTACTATTTACAAAACACATGAACAGCTCAATTTTTCATCCATTTAAGAATTATACTTAACACTAATAACTCTAAAATTTGAATGTTGACGACAATAAAAACATTATGCTATTCTCTCTACTTCCAGTACTTATTATTTATTAAATACTCGAAATATACATTGAAACCAATATATCTTTTGTATCAGAAGTTACAAAATTCTCTGCGATGTAACTGTATTACATATCCTATTACTATACCTAAGAGATAATTTTTATATCCTTAATAATATGAACATCGATCTAAATTCATCCTATAATTTCTAAGATATTTACGAATATTTCGTATGATAACAATTACAGTAAAATAACCAAGACTTTCTCCAGAGATCGTTGTGGTAATTTACATACACAACCCAATTTCCTGCAATATGGCATTGTGCAAGCAAAACATTCAGTTTTTTTTTTTTAATAAACAAACAAAAAGGTCATAATTTGATCCTCGCCTCGGGAAGTCACTTTGAATTGCTTGTTAATGTTCACCACTATAAAACTGTGTTCTTGGATTAAATGTGAAGACAATAATTATTATGTCCCTTTGAAAAAAATCTTTAACTGTTAAATGATCATTAAATTAGTTTTCCTAAGTGTACATTTTGACAACTCTTACTTGTTCCAATTGTCATTCTTTGGCTTACATAAAAACAGACTTTTTACTATAATCTGGTTTTGTTATCTGAAGGTCTTTCTTCTCTCGTCTCTTCTTCTTTCATGTCCTGATCTTGCGCTTCTTTCAAAGAGTCTGGTAGTTTCATGTTGTTTGTCTCTGGTAGTAGGAGAACTAGAAAGCCAGACAATGCTGCCATACTACCGAATATCATTGTTGGGAGATACTTGTAGTACCTCGTCTGTAAAGAAAAATAAAACTCATTATACATGCATGCTTGCATGTTTAGTAATATGGTGACGATGATTATAATTTAAGAACTTTAACCTTACGACCCTATTCCATTTAAAATCTTCAGAAGCTATTTTTATACTTATAGAGAGATGAATGGGAGAGGCCTATGTCCAGCGGTGGACTGCGATTTTTTTCCTAATTTTTATGATTTAAAAACCTATATGGTCCATGTGGTGACGGATTAAGAATACGAAGTGTTACCACCCCTATCCATCCCGTGGGTATCGTAAGAGCCGACTAAGGGAGCGAACTAGGTACGCAGGACAACAGCTCTGCAAAGAGAAGGGATACTTGAAACAAACTCTTTTTTTTTTTTACGTGTGGAAATCCCCTCGGACCGTCACCCCACCGGGGTTTGCGGCGGGGTGGTGTGTCGGACTCGGACCGACTAAAACCACGGGGTGTGCGACTCTGCGCCTGTAATAGGATAATATATAATAGGTATAAATGTAATAGGACTTGAAACAACACAACACAAACCCTATACCAACCCGTCTGGCCAGCGTGGTATAGTAGGCCAAAACCTCCTTTCTAAAGAGAGGCCTATGTTCAGCAGTGGACTATTAAAGGCTGTTGATGATGATGATGAAAAACCTATAATTCTAATCACATAACGATTAACTTTAGACCAAAGAAAAAAATCAAGAATTAAGAATCTTTTCGCTTGTTTTAAGTTACATTAAATAGTAATATTAATTTTGATCAAATTAATTTACGGATAAGTGGACAACTAGTAGTTTTCTTATAATTTGTTGTAGCTTATTATATTATTCATTGATAATTTATATTACATTAAATTTTTAGCGGAGGCTTAATGTATTATATTTATTAATAGAATACTGAATAAGTAAATAGGTTTTAATCCTTACCAACAAAGGTGTCTGCGGTGCGACCGTGGATCCTATTCGGCCTATCGTCGAAGTCATGGCAAGAAGGGACGTTCTATAGTTTGTTGGGAACACCTCAGCAGCGAAGACATACAGTGAATTGTACGCCAAAGTTATAAAAAACTTTCCTCCAAGGTACAGCAATATTGACCAGTTGCCAGCTGTTCAAGAAAAAAATCAGCATTTTATTCTTTTCTCAAATTAATGTAGGTTTGAAGCAATGTGTTTTCTTCTCCTATTCTGCATTATCATATATATCATTCTATTGTTTACTAGCTGTAACCGGTATGCATTGCAATGCGACATAAAGTAATTCTTACAGGCGTTTCTAGAACACATTACCAAAGTTTAATCATAATCTGATTAATAGCTTTGGAACGCAAAGAGGACACACATTGATTTTTATTTCGCATTTAAGGCAGTTCCTTTCTCAAGAATCAAACTATATCTATACCAAATTTCATCTAAATCCGCTAAGCGGTTATTGATTCACCATACAAACTTTCACTCCCCTTTTCACTTCCTTAAAGGAAGATTTCTGGGATAAAACCTATCCTATGTCCTTTTCCGAAACTCAAACTGTCTCAATACATAATTATATATATAACTGAATCGGTTCAGCGGTTTAAGCGTGAAGAGGTAACAGAGAGACAGGCACACTTTCGCATTAAAATATTAGTATGGATCTAGATAATCTTTATCAGGTTTTTTTGGGGTAAGGGCAAACGAGCAAACGGGTCACCTGTTAAAACGTGCGAGCGAAGATAAAAATGAATAAAATTTCAAGTATAATTTCCATTGTTAGTATTCATACTTACTATGGGTTTTAAACGTCTGATGTAATATTAAATTACTGACTTCAAATTTAGTAAAAGCCTCTTATGTACAATACACAAAGACATAAGGTCAACCATTTTTCATTATTTTTTTGAGTAACGTTATTTATTCAAGCTTCAATATTGCATAGTTGTTACTTTAGTAAGTTGACTGCACGGATGTCGTAGTGGTTCAAGCGCCTACTGCGCTGAGTGTTATGGGTCCGATCCCCACATGGGACAACACTTTGTGTGATTCACAAATTGTTGTTCTGAGTCTGTGTATTCTTTGTGTCCGTTTACTGTATGTTTGTAAAGTCCCCCGCGACACAGGATATTTTGCTAGTGCGGGAGTTGTCTTTTTTAAGTTAAAAAAAAGGAAAGTTGCAAGTAATTACTTTATGACATAAATTGTTGATATTAATATTACAACAAGAAAATGAAATTGTTTAAAATATTATTTATTTGTTTACTATAACTGAGAGTAAAACAAGGAAATGCATTGCCGAGTGTAGTCAAACAAAGCATACTGAGTTTCCATTAGTATACAATTATGTGGTTTCAAATATTATTTAAGTTGTACATAAAAGCATTACATTCAAATAAACAACACACCTAGCTAAAGAAACAATAGCTATAAAATAATGGTTAAAATGAAATGGGAAAATCGATGAGGATTTGTTTCTACCAATGTTAATAAAGAATGGCGAACATTCGACTCGTCACTTTGCGGTTTCAATCCATTTCATTGCAAATATTTGTATACATGAATGTCAAACTGCAAAATAATCTTGGCAATGGTAATATATTAGTGACGTCATCGATGTTCACAAAGACTATAGATTACATCAGCAAGATATACGTATAAAATGAAAGAAAAACACTGCCATGACCAAAAGTTCGGCAAAGTAAAAATCTAATAATCAATGAATCAATCTCTAGCACGGTATTTGTTTACCACTTTAGTTCTAAAACAAATTAAGTATTATGTGCGCATTTGCATTCAATACTTAATTACATTTCATGTATTATTTTTTTGCTAAACTGTGGCTTTTTTGGTAAATCGAGAGAATATTTCGTTTTTTAATAAAACACATTTCATTTGTTCACATTTAAAACAAAAACATTTAAAAAATATGACCTCACCTGGAACAAATCCGTAGTTAATCAAAATCAATCCGGTCATAAAATAAGCAGTTGCTATCACTCTCTTTCTGCCAAATCTGTCCAGGAATATCAATTTGCAGACATTAGCAGGCGCCTCTATCACCAAAATCACTATATAGTTCAAGTAACTATTCCCAGACAACTCTATTGCATTTATAGAGAGGCCATAGTAGACTAAGGTAGATGATATCCAAAGGAAAGAACATATGAACAGCCGTTTCCATATCATACTGGATCTAAGAAGTTGGTTGAACGTAGACTGGTTTTTCTCCAAACTCTCACACTTTCTCTCATCTCTTTGCTTTGTAGCTTGCTTCTCAACTTGTTCATAATAGTTTTTTGGGACATCGACCTTGTTCAATTTCTCCGATCTACTGAGAACCTTGACGCCTTCTTCGTATCTGCCTTTACTGAAAAGCCATCTGAAGCTTTCAGGGAGCATCCAGATGTAGATGAAGGTGAATACGGAGGGTGTGTAGATGACAAAGAGGAGATATCGCCAATTTTGTAGCCACCAGGAGAGGAGCGTAACGGCAACTCCGCCAAGGATGAACATGGTGTTGAAGAGTAGACTGGCGAAGACTCTGCCTTTTGGACCCACAAGTTCTAGGGCTGAAAAGAAAATGTTGAATTTTTTAATATTTTTTCATTCTCGTATTTATTTTATGGTTTTTTTTTTCTTTCATAGAGAAGTGGTTACTATTTAAAGTCATATAATAGCACAATTAATAACTTATATTTGTAATATTTGTAAAATTAGGGACGTTTAATACAGAAATTTTATTTTGAAACTGTAATTTTTTTATTTAAAAACTGTTCGACACAGTTAATATTTGCTTAGAGAGAGGGCTGACGCGAATAGAACCTGTGGGTGATTTATTTTAAATATGTTGTTGAATCATTTGGGTTAGGTAAGAACTGTGACCGCAGCGATAAAGCGGGCCAAGAGCGAGGCCCGCTGCGAGATGCTGGAGACGCTGGAGCGAGATCCGTGGGGACGCCCCTACCGTATGGTTAGGGGCAAGATGCGCCCATGGGCCCCGCCGCTCACCCGGGGTCTTCAGCCAGAGCTGCTTGAGAGGGTCGTTGGCTCCCTGTTCCCAACGCGAGTGGTGGAGCATACTCCGCCACAGATGGCTCCGCCTCCGGCGCTTGAGGCGCCTAACGTGGATGACGACGACGTGCCTGAGGTCACTAGGGTGGAACTAAGGGTGGCGGTGTTACGGCTTAAAGCTAAAAAAACCCGCCCCGGGACCCAATGGCATTCCTGGCCGAGCGTGGGTCCTGGCCTTAGTCGACGAGGCTCTCGAGCCCCGACTGCGAGGGTTCTTTAGCGCATGCCTCGAGTGGGGCCAGTTTCCGAAATTGTGGAAGACGGGGAAACTGGTCTACATCCGAAAGGAGGGGCGCCCGGCGGACTCACCGTCCGCCTACCGGCCCATAGTGTTGCTTGACGAGGTGTGCAAGCTCTTTGAAAGAGTGATTGCAAGGCGCCTCGTCAAGCATCTCGTGATGGTGGGGCCGGATCTGGCGGACAACCAGTACGGTTTCCGTCAGGGGCGCTCCACCGTGGATGCGATCATGCGCGTGAAGGCTCTGGCGGAGGAAGCAGTTTCCCGGGGCGAAGTGGTGTTGGCGGTGTCCTTGCACATCGCCAACGCGTTCAACACTCTGCCCTGAAGCTGCATCAGGGAGGCGCTCGTGTATCACGAAGTGCCTCTCTACCTCCGCCGCATAGTCGGGGCATATTTGTCGGAGAGAGCCGTCGTCTACCCCAGTAAGACCGGTCTCGGTAGGCGTGAAATGTCGTGCGGTGTTCCGCAGGGGTCGGTGTTAGGGCCACTCTGGAACATCGGCTACGACTGGGTGCTTCGTGGTGCCTTCTTGGATGGTGATACCGTCGTGTGCTACGCGGATGACACACTCGTGACGGCGCGCGGCAAGACGCACCAGGAGGCAACCCTGAGGGCCACGGCCGGGGTTGCCCAAGTCGTTGAGCGAATCTGGCGGCTGGGTCTCGAGGTGGCTCTGCACAAGTCCGAGGCTCTGTTCTTCCACGGGCTTCGGAGGAAGCCGCCTGAGGGATCTAGCCTCACGGTAGGAGGCACTCGCATCGGCATCGAGCCCTCGATCAGGTATCTGGGGCTCGTACTCGATGGCCGATGGGACTTCGGATATCATTTCCGAGGTCTGGTCCCCAAATTGGTTGGGGCAGCGCGTGCGTTGGCGCGGCTGCTGCCCAACATGAAGGGACCCGATGACTCCAGGAGACTCTACTCGGGGGTTGTGCGGTCCATGGCCCTTTACGGGTGCCCAGTATGGGCGGGGGCCCTGAAGGCCAGCAACGTCGCGATACTGCGATGACCGCAGCGAGTGCTGGCCATCAGGATCATAAGGGGATACCGCACGATTCCTTTGAGGCGGCGAGTCTCCTGGCCGGAACTCCACCGTGGGACCTGGAGGCGAGAGCCCTTGCGGCTTTGTATAAGTGGCGCACGGAGGCGCGGGAGTTGGGTCGGTGTCCCGAGATTCGAGAAATCGATGACCGGAGATCCCAACTCCGCCAGGTCATCATAGGGGAGTGGAGGGAACGACTCGGGCAACCGAGCGCCGGGCACGCCGTCATCGCGGCGGTAAGACCCGTTATGGAGGATTGGCTCGAGAGGCGTCACGGGACTCTCTCATACCGTCTGACGCAGGTGATCACTGGGAAAGGATGTTTCGGGGATCACCTGTGTCTGATCCGCAAGGAGCCAACGCCTGAGTGCCACCACTGCGATGGCCAGACCGTGGACACGGCTCTCCACACGCTGACAGAGTGCCCGGCGTGGGTTGAGCAGAGGAGTGGGAGTTCTCTCGCTCGATAGCCTGATTGCGGCTATCGTGCGGAGCGAGAGTGCGTGGAACTCTGCCGTCTCCTTCTGCGAGCAAGTTATGCTCGCGAAGGAGACGGCGGAGCTGGACCGGGAGAGGTTTAGAACTCTCCCGGCCCGCCAGGCCCGGGAACGGGCTAGGTACCGCAGGCGACTCAGGCGCCGGAGGTCGCAGAACGATCTCCGTCCTCCATAAGCGCAGGCCTGGGGGTGACAGGTGAGGCCATCTGTCACCCTAGCAGAAGTAGGCCGGAGTGGCGGCGAGCGCGTTGCGAAGCGCGCTCGCTTCCAGGGAGCAGGGGAACATGGGGTTCCCACACGGGGCGGGGTCGTCTACTCGTCTGTAAATGGCCCGAGGTATGTCGGGGCACCAGGGACTTCCTTTCTAGGGTATACCTGGTTCCCCGGTTATTAGTACCCGAGACGGCGTGCGGTTTTAGTCGGTTCGAGTCCGACACGCCACCGTGGTATCCGAGGGGATTTCCGCACGGAAGAAAAAAAAAAGAAAAGGTAAGAACTGTGACCAGCGAAAGAAAATATTTTTATTTGAAAGAAAATAGAATGTTTCGAATTATCATTTAGTCGGACTTTTTGTTATTCGATCTATGACTCGGTATTTTGAGCACAGTTATTATAAACTTTAGGAATATTGAAATTTATGAATTATAAAAATAGGATGAATGATCAATCGGAGTTGTTATATTAGGAATTTTGAATTATTCGGAATTATGGACATTGGTATTTTGAAATTCGTATTTGTGATTGAATAAAGTTTTTCGTATTTGTTTAGTGTACCCGGGGAATATACCTATAATATAGATTTATTGTATCATCTACGATGTCTGATTTCGACGAAGTTTTTTTTTAATTGTATTGTATGTTTAAGAAACCAATCCACGAGTTAACAGTATGATTAAAAATGAAAAATATTTTTTCAATTTCAATAGATTCATTAATATAAATCCTATATTATATTAAATATTATACCCTATATTTTAAACGTTTTTTTAAATATTTTATATAATTATGTAATTTAGATTTTTAGACAATAAGTCATAAGTAGTAATTAGTCAATATTGCCTTGGGAGTATTCCTGCAAGAATATTGTAAATGTATCAAAAAAAAAAATGTTGGTGTGTCCATTTTTTTTTCTGAAAATTTAACAACAATATAACAATCTCAATTTGATGAAATGGACATGAAAATACATATTATATTATTTATAATGTACACCTACAACTGGAAAAATGTTTTCACATTCCTAACGACTTCTAATCGTACAGTAAGTATCTCAAAAACCCATTCATCATTTCATGACAAATACACGTACTTAGTTAGACTTCATTGATCACAGACAATAGAATATGATAACAAGTATATTTCCTACAATTCGATATTGGTGTCGAATCTACGTTGTCACTACCGGGAACCCCACGGACACAATATAAGAAAATGCCTAAAACAAATACCGGAAGACCTGACAAAAACTATAATTAGCTACAAAAGACTAATGGGACGTTCAGCGAACCGTCAGCGAAGGCTGTTTGGGTGTCATTTGCTAAATTTAATCAAGTATTTTTTATCTAATAAGGTTAACGTTCCTTGAACAATCATAGCTTATTTGTTTTTCCGTCATTAGCAACGATTAATTACTGATTTAAAAAAGTTTTACTACAATTATAAATGCGAAAGTTTGAATGGATGCTCGTTACTCAACCATGCGAAACGGTTGAAAAGATCTGGATGAAATTTGGCACAGAGATAACTTATAGTTTGGAATTTTTGTATTTCAATTATTGCCACCCATTTCTCAGACACGGCGTGCTGCATCTTTAGATATATTGTAAAACTATTACTAGATAAATAAATAAGAAAGTAGGTACTATGATAATTAATATTATTTAACGGGAATTAACGCGATCTCTTATTTAGGGTATTAGTCAGCCTGTGACCACGGCCGGTGCAACCTGGTCGAAACGTCAGGCAAACCATAGGTATGTAATACCCCAAATAAGAGATCGCGTTAATTCCCGTTAAATAATATTAATTATCATGGAACGCGAAAGTTTAAAAGTTAGTATAGGTACTATGAATTAATTCTTTTGTATGAAAGTCTCTAGTGCTGCGAGGTTACACCTCCCACGGTGAACGTTCAACCGATCCCACCCTATAGCTACCAGTCCTACTGATTTTTTAAAATTATTATTGCCAAAATATTTCAAAACAGAGTACAAAGTATTTTTTAACACAAATTACAAATTCTACCACTAACGTGTTAAAACTAAAACTATATTTTAGTGGTAACACTGTATATAAATTACAATGATTAACTTATTATTTCGATTATAGCGTTATTTACGTGAATATTAATACATAAACAATATATTTAAGTGTGAAAAGTAATTCTACTATATTTATTACAGTTTAGTGACCTTGAATCGCATTCTTTCACTACGCATTTACTCATTTTGGCGAATGTTATTGTCACGTGTCGCTATGTTGACGGTTGCTGCGCATATGGCTGTGGACAGATGTGCAGTGGCAACGTTAAACTTTATGTTATAGTTTTTCCTAGTTAAATATACTTTTAATAACTTACTTCTGTTAATCTGCTCTATACACAAATCCAATACATATTTATTTATTTTTATTTATTTTTTCTTTCAATAAGCCATCTAAGGTCACTTGGGTTTTTGAGACGGATAAAACGCACTTAAGGTATTTTTTATACAAATTTTG